TATTTGCAATTATTCTAATCTAATATAGTGTACATTCAATCTCATGTAGTATAACATAAGTATTAATCACACTTTGCACTTGGGAGTGTGTGATACATTATATAAAAAAAGAGTTAAAAATATTGGTGAGTATTACAAGGATAGCTGTAAGATCAACAAAATTGACAACTTTGAAGATAGAATGGATTTGGAAATCATCAGCAAAGATGTTATTTCACAGGAAGAGATAGGTTATCATAAACTGCTAGAGAATTTAAAAAAAAAACTTGTGAAATTTATCAAAAAATCCGAGGGCCACAACAGTATACTTCCAAGCAAAATAAAGCACAAATTGAACCATGAGATAGAGTTTTTTCTTGATGTATAAAACTCAATGGAATTCTATTCCAACTTTGATTAAGCCACTAATCAAGACTAAAACATTCACAAAACATTTTCACAGACTTTTCTGCTTTAAAACATTAAGTTTTCACAGACTTTTCTGCTCTAAAAATACTTTTCAAAATCATGGAGCCTGTTAAATTAGTTGTTGATAATTGAATTTATGAAGACAACATTTTCTAGTGCTGAAAAAATTCAATTCACAAAATTCATTCAAATTCATTCAAATAATTATTACAACTTATGTTCAATAAACATTCTGATAGGTAGAGCAAAATAGATAATAGTTCATAGAAAATTTGTATAGATAAGCGAATGAATGAGGACATTATACATTTATTACAAAGCCTCATAAATTCTGCAGTTATTTCATCCAAAGCTATGCTAGCTTTTTGCAGGAAATCTTCAAGTCAGTGGTTAAAACAAAAATGTTTCAACAAATACTAATAAAATGAAAATATTTCACTAAAAGATGAATTGAATAAAATGAAATTAATGTAAATACATTATTTACTATTTGGAAAATAATGAAAAACAGTAAAAACAAGTTGTTAAAGGGACTACCAAGTCCCAAGACATGTTGTGTTCATATTAAAGAGAATGTTAAAAAAAAAACGTCTGAGCAAATTTTTTTAAATTAAAACTAATTAATAAATGTATACCAAGAAAAACAAATCTTGTTGTTTTAGTCGAAGCTCGTCTTCTCCGTTTTCTCTGGTATTTTGAGTATGTAAATTAAACGTGATTTCCAGGCGCATTATACAGACTTGATAATTTATTCAAGCGCGTTTAATTTATAGGAGTTTTAGAGCATGACATCATTGGAAACATTCTAGAAATTCTTTAAAAATTTTACTATTAAATTTTACTCAAATAACTAACTATAGTTACTTATTTTATTAAAAGTTTATTTTATTAATTGTTCGTTAGTTTTCTACAAATCTAACGAACAATTAATTAAACCAAGCACTAAGAAAAGATATAAAAATTAAGAATATATTAATAAAATATATAATTTGTAATTAACTTTCAAAATTTTGACAATTTAAAAAATATATATTATAAAACATTTATTTTTGTAAACAAATGATAATAGTTTAAAAGTTTTACGGCTTTACAGATGTGGCTCCGTGAATGAGCCATAACATTAAAGTAATAGTTCATTTGATAATATATTCTAAAAAAAATTTATGCTAGATATCTCAAAACGCAACAAATCGAAAATAATACAATTACTAAAACATTTCAACAGAATACTCTAGAACTTTATTTCGCTTAGTCAGCGTGTTTTTTAAACCAATAGAATTAGTTTGTTCGCAAATTTGGCGGGTTTTTAGTGTTCGCAAATACTCTTTTTATTCTTCCGCAAGATGTTTTAAGAACATTAAAGTTAATTATGTTTCCATATGTCTGTAAAATAAAAATTTATATATATTAATTTTTTAACTTTTAAGCCCCCGCCATAATATATATTGGATGTTATAATGGAAATGTAAATAATGATATAAGATCACCTCAATACCAAAAAATACATTTCTGAAAATCAGAGAAAAAACGCATTAATTTTTTTCTAATATTTACAAAGTAAATTAATAAAAATGCATTATTATTTAGGTTAAAAATTATTTTATCCAATATTTTGAAAGAAAAACTTATAACAAAAGAAATCAAAATACACGTGGTCTAGACGATTATTTAAAAAAAGTTGCGCAAATAAAATACTATTTTGTTTTTAATTTTATTTCTGTTTTTAATTTTATTTTGTTTTTAATTTTATTTTACAAACACGTTTTAGAACTTTAAAATATAATAAAAATGAATATGATTTGGAAATTGTATGTAAAAAATAACAATCGGTGTTTTTAACAAACAAAAAGTAAATCTATGATGTCATGCACTAAAACTCCTATGAATTAAACGCGCTTGAATAAATTATCAAGTCTGTATAATGCGCCTGGAAAATCGCGTTTATTTTACATACTCAAAATACTAGAGAAAACGGAGAAAACGAGCTTCGACTAAAACAACAAGATTTGTTTTTTTTGGTATACATTTATTAATTAGTTTTAATCAAAAAAAATTTGCTCAGACATTTTTTTTTAACATTCCCTTTAATATAAACACAACATGTCTCGGGACTTGTTAGTCCCTTTAACAGCTTTTTTTTTGAAAGTTTAAAACAAAAACAGCTGTTATTTGAAAAATAGTGCTTTTGAAAAATCTTACTTGGCCTTCCAAGTCGTGGCATTTAATTGTAAAAAACCTGCTCCAAAACCACGTGATGTCAAAACATCATTGCCTGTCATGTAGGTAAGTCAGAAAAAAATATGATCTGTTGCAAGTATGTAACAGAACATGAAAAGTTGGGTCAATCCTTTTGAATTTGTAAAGAAAAAATATAGAGATTCTTAAAATGATAGGTAAGAGAAAGCTAGACATATTTAATACATATATATAAGCTATTTACTTACTGCAAGTGAATTGCTGGAAAAGTAACAGTGCTAAAATTATTGGATATGATGATTATTGGTACAAACTCTTCTGGATTGGATGCAATAAAGAAGTGTCAGGTGTTGGAAATTTAGAAATAAAAAAATGTTGTAAAAACTAAATATAAATATAAAAAATAAATTCTAAATATAATTAAAAAAAATAAGATGAGTGAAAGAGTTAATGAATAATTAAGCAAGGTAATGCTTAATACAGTTTTAACATAATAAACAAATGAAATAACTTTACATTGTTTTTGGCAATGTTTGAAAAAATGTTGGAGAAAATGAGAAAAAAACTGTATCCGAAGACATGAATGGACATGTTGGTGCAGCCAGATGGTTTTAAAACATGGTGGAAATGAGTTAAGCCTAAAATATGGAGAATTGTTATTAGAATTTTCAGAAGCTACGAAATAGTCTATATTACATAGTTTATAAAAAAAAATCAAGGACCAAAAGGCAAGAAAAAAATGTAAGAGTAACAAAAAAGTGATACAACATGAAGATTTTATTACATAGCACAAATTATTTACTTGTATTATAAAATTGGCAGAAAACATTAAGAAAAAAAAAGATATTTTGTAAATAAGTGCAGAATGCAGAAATCAAAAAAGATAAAGTATGAGACCATTTAGAAAAAAAAATTCAAAAACTAAAGGTAATGTGAAAGATAAAAAAAACGTGAAATGTTTAGAAACTTGATTAGATACTTTTCAGAAAAAACTGATGAAGTATGTGGAACAACAAAGGGTTCTAACGCAATTAATCATGTTAAAAAATTGATGCAAAGTATTATGGTGAATAAGAAAAAAAAGCTGTATTTCATGACTATAAACAAACTAAAACAAACTGGCGTCGAGAGTTGAAGAAAATGAAGTGTTTAAAGATGTGTAAAAAGAAGGTAAAAAATAATGGTTAAAGAAAAATATAAATGATTTTGAAAAATAATAAAAATAAAAAATACGAAAAATAAAAATGTTGTTGAAGAAGGCTGAGTTAAAGAGCAAGATGAAAAAAAAAATGACAAATGAAAAAAAAAAAAAAGTAAAAAAATACAAAATGAAGTTGAGGTAAAAAATGGTGAATGACTTATTTTGAAAAATTAAAATATGAAAATTTAAACAAAGGTTTATCTGCAGTGAATAAGATGAATGAACTAGCAGACCTGATAACCTGTAGAAGAGTGAATCTCAGAGGGCTTAGTTAATGAAGACTGCTAATTCTTATGGTATATTGACTGAGATTTCAAAGTTTTCAAGGGTATCAGTTCTTTGTAATTGTATTTTTATATAAGGCTAAAATCCCAAATAGTTTGATAAAAAAATTGGATAGTAAAGATTTGTAAGTTCAAAAAAAATTAAAGAACAAACAAACTGTGAGTGCTATTCACAGAACTTGAAAAAAGCCCAAGGTACTAAGAGAGCTAATGTTAATTAGAGAGTTAATGTTAAGCTAATCGGCTTAAGAGAGTTAATGTTAAGAGAGTTAATGTTAAGCTAATCGGCTTTGAGTTAATAAGACATTTAAGTGATTGGGACAGCTATCTTGGCTATGTTTGAAAATATTATAACAGCAATTAAAACAAAAGATAGAGATAAAAAACAAAGAATTAAGCACTGAAGCCTGATGCACACCAACCTCCTGATACACACCAACCTCCTAATGCACACCAACCTTTACTATTAAATCTAAATGTGAATACAAAATCATTTTCAAAATCTACAGACCATTCAATCCAGTAATACAAAAAGAAAAGAAAAAAGGACAAAAAAGGAAATGCATCAAAGAATTATTTTCTTCAAGGATCTACTTAACAGCATTCAATAATAGTTAGAAATTGACTAAATAAGCAACATTTTTTATTTTTTATATTATTAATACAAACTTTGACAAATATAGATTATTATTCAAAAAAAAAACTGTTTAAACGTAAATATAAAATTTTATAATGTTAACTTTAAATTACCTATTAAACATTTGATTTATTATCTATTATAAAGTTACAGAGATTTTAAAATGGTTGTAATAGAATGAAATGTTAAAAAAGATATAAAAAAATTAGCTTTATGTAAATCTTCGAATGAAAGAACAAACAAAAAAAAGATTATAAAGAAAACAATTACTTACAATTTAACAAGCCATTCACCTTCTAACATCTTTTCCCAGTTTTCTTCAGTGAACACAAAATTCTTTTGCTCAACTATTTTTAATGTTTTTACAGCAATTTTTCCACAAGTTAATAAAAGAAAGAGGGAGAAAAAAAACATTTTTTTCAATTTCTTGCTAAAAAATAATAAGTGAATTTTTTTTAAATGACAAATAATAGAAATTTATTTTTAATTTTCAAATTTTTGTATAGTGTTTACAAAATAAAATAAAAAAGGATTCTAGCTATTACAAACATATTCAAAAGCTTTAAACTACATTTAAGTACCATTAAAAGGTTTTTTTCTCTGTATATTGTTACAGTAAAAATATCTAAAAACTTGTTCATTAACGCCAAAAACTGTCTTTTTTTAAAATTTTATTAAAAACTGTCATTTTTATAACAAATCATTTAAAACATCAAGATTTTGTTTTTTCGTGAACTCCATTATTTTTGCTCTCTCGCTTACATTCTTGCAATTTTTATAAAGTGCACGCAGTGTTTCTTTATCTCTTTTAAGTAAAAAAACTTCTGCAGACTTTATTGTTGCGGCCACATATATACAATTGAGTATACATAAACGATTTCTCAACATTTTGATAAAAGTCAAACATGCCCTGATTTCAATTTGATATTCTCGAGGAGCTTGAACAAAAAAAAGTTTTGTATAAGGGTTTACATATTTTACAAATAAGTTTAAAGAAAATGCACCGATTCCATAGTCTCCGTATAGATCTTGAATAGATAACCGAATAGCACGGAAAATATCTTCTCTGCTAAGATTTAAATCCACTTTGTTATCTTCATAAATAATTTCAACAACAAAATATCGCTGTTTTTTGCGTACCATATTTCTTGATAAAAAATCAAATAATACATAAGATAGGATAAAATATATTAAACAAAATTTCTGTTTTAAAAAAAAAATAGTTACATATCTATATACAATATCATACTATGAGAAACCTTTCAAACCATGTTCATAGTTTGAAAAAATTTTGTACTTTCAAAGCTCATAGAATAAAAACAAATTTATGAATTGTTCAAAAACATTTACTTTACACAAGTAAGTAATTAGGTTATGCTTCTAAATATTGGATGTCTTTACACATATACAATATTTTAAAAAAAAACTTCTTAACATATTGAACCTTATTAAATATGTGTTTATAGATATGCAATATTTATGAAGAACCTTAAAGAAAATATTATATTAAACCTTTGTTATTACCAGAAGTTAAAAACATTAACAAATAAATAAAAAAAATAAAGTTAACTTTGGATTTTTTAATATAAAAAAGAATTTATTCAAAAATCAAATACTACATTATGTAGATATAACCATTAATAAATATGATTCTGAAATATCATAAACAACAATTATGATATAGAGATGATTATGTAATCATAATAATTATTGATAGTGAAGATGCTAACATAAAATTTAAATGATTATTAAATTATATTGTATTTTTAATTTCCTCGTACCACTTGTTAAGTTCAAAATATGCAAGTGCATCTCTAAAATGTTTCCACCACAAAAGCACAACTTCATTTGGTTCAGTTAATGGACCTTTGAAAGTTTGAAGTTCAATATCGGTTGGCTGTGGCATTTTCCATGGTTTTTTTGTCAAGCAACAAGCAAAATGATAGACTTTCATTGGATGGTACAAGTATCTTCGTACATTATACGCATATGGCAAAGGTAACCATTTATTGTTATCAGCGTAATAATGCCACAATAATACCTGATCATTAGGACAGCTCGCTCCTGTTGATAGATGTGACCACATATTCATAATTTCATTGTAACTCTTTGAACTAGGTTTAAACATTAGTAACCCAGCATTAAAACAAGGGTCCAGTATTCCTGGTCGTGCACAATAACTTGCTGCCATTTCAGCATCTAACCAAAACAACTCATCTATATTATTAAGAGGCATTACATCAGGGTCTAAATAAACAATACTATCATACTCAGTGTAATTCCAAGCATGAAAACGCATGTGAGTGCCAGGTAAACCAAGATGGCGTTCAATATTTCCTTTCCTGCGATCCATCCAGTCACAGTCAAGAGGCTCAACATTCCGCACCTCATAACCTGCTTTTTTTAATGCATCTTGTGATTTTTTAGTAACACCATCTGATACTAAAGCAATCATTTTATGGTGACAAGACAGTTTTTTAATGACATAAGCTAAATAAATGGCACCAACAGCATAATTATCATTCATCATTGCGGTCAGCCATGCTACATTTAAATGTGGATGTTGTCTTTTTGCACACATTTGCTGGTTAAACAACATCTCCATTTCTTGCAGGTAAAACTCTTGTTGCCAAGATAATTTTTCTTCAATTTCATGTCGTTGTTCATCATTATATACCATGGTCACTATAAGTCTTATATAAGAAAATGTATACTGGAAGGTTGTAGGCAGAACGATATAAAATCCAAACAGAAAAATGATGAAAACAACACAAGCTTTTGCAAACCTCAATAAAATACCAACATCAAAGTTATTCATTCCTACATTATAAAAACAGTGAATAAATTTCAATCATTTTATTTAACAGACAAAAAGAATTGTGCCTTTTTTTTTTCCCAAAAAAATTGGAATAAATATTTTTTGACTAACACATGAATTACTAATCACAAAATATATTTATAATTATTGACTAACTCTCATAAATTTATAATCACAAAAATAAATATTACTCGAAACTTTTTATTTGCAGTATTTACAACTTGTATGTAACATGCAAACCCATCACATTACATTACCCATAAACCCATTACATTACCCATAAACCCATTAGCCTTAGAAGTTAAATTCATACAACTTTAGTTTAGTATTTTAATTTAGTAACTATTTAATATAGTAATATATTAACTTTTAGTTTAGTATTTTAGTTTAGTATTTTAAGTATACCTTTCTGCTTCCTAAACTTTATATTATAATAGACTTTCTATTTAGCTAACATTAGTTTTTATGTTACTTAAACTTGTCATATTATAAACCTTTACTATTTTTCTATTCTACACATATAGCTTATTTTTTTGTGCTTATATGGGTGACAATAAAATTGAAAACACTTTAACCAACAGTATATGGATGCTCTTTTTAAGTGCCAAAATATTTTTTTAATAAAGTACAAAATTTCATTCCACATATATAGATATTGGGGTAAGGGGGTTGGTACATAAATAACATATAATATGTTATCTTTGTAGCAACCCCTTCATAAATAAAAAAGTATTCTAAAAAATTAAGAAAAATTAAGTTATAATACATCTGAAAAATAACACATACTTGAATGTTTAAAGTAGTTTTGTCATGTATTGTGCAGTAAAAGAATGTTGGAATGTTTAAATTCAGAGGTGGAAAGAATAACAAAATTAAATACTCTAGCTTTTTATACTTCTAACAAAATGTAATACTCTAGCTACTCAAAATTTAATACTCTAAAGTTCAGTGAAATTCAAGTTTAAGTAAAGTTACCAGTCTAAAAATATATTCAAGTAAAAGTATAAAGTAGACAAATCAGTTAATCATTTTTTTGTTAAACAGAAAAGTCAGACTAACTACAAAACATAAAGTTAAAATTGGATCAGGGACCTTCATTTATTAAAGACCAAACTGTGTCATTGTCAGATAACAGACCTGTCAAATATAAAACATAAACAGCTTGGTCTATTCGTTTCTGTATATCTTTATACTATGAACCTTATGTTATATTTGAGAAGCAGTTGGTTTTTAAAGCTAGGAGATTTTATACTCGTCCACTTCACAAAGAATAACAGTCCAGCATTATTGAACAGACACTCATAGACAGCTGGGGCAGGAATACCAGTGTTGACTTTGATAGAGAGAGTTTTTGTATGTGCGTGAATGAGTTCAACAGATTTACAAAAAATCATGCGACCAGAAATATGGTAAAACAAATTTTTATTATCTTGATTGTATTATAGTAATAAAATTTTAATTTTAATTTTAATTTTAATTTAATTTTAATTTAATTTTAATTTAATTTAATTTTAACTTTAATGACACAAACTAGTTAATTAAATCATTGAACTAAGCAATACCTAAATTAAGTTTTTTCTCTTGAATTAGACGTTCATCAATAAAAATCAAGATTAATGTCAACATTTCTCAGCATGTTCCCACCCAGTAATTAAACAGTGCAGTATGTTAGAAAGCCCTGAATGAACATATTAATTATCCACTAAATGCAAATGTAATTTGTTACTTTCCACCACTGGTTTTTGTCATGCAGAATATTTAGACATATGATGGTATGTTAATGAATGCATATCGAAATATTGCAGAGACAAATAGAGTTTTACGAATAAGCCAAAAACTTACACAATACAAAACAATAACTTTTAATATGCTAAACAATATAAAACAATACTTTTCAATGCATTGCAAAATATAATGAAACATTTTTCAATAATCTACTCAACAATCCGATACTTTTCTTTTTTTTTCTTTTTATTTTTCATATACCAATAAGTTGTATAATACAAAAATAATTAAGTTTGCACAATATAACATATTAACTAGTAGAAAGTTTACAAAATATTGCAGTTGAAACAGTTGATCCAGATTTCCCACCAAACTGAAATGAAGGTGCAGGAATGTGAGCAACAAATTCAAAGACTAAATAAAAATTATTATATTTATATAATAATGCACTACAATTAATACATTACAAATATACAAACACATTTATATTAAATATATATGTTGCTATATACACATATATATACACACACCTTGTAGCAGATTTAAATGTGCAGTGTCCTAAGATATTTTGCAAAGAAGATTTAAAATGCTAATTTTACTTTTAATAGTTTTTCATACAGAAAAAAATAACAATAATGTAACTCTTTTTTTTTTGCTGTAATAAATATTCTTTGCCTGTTGAAATTTTAAAACTTAAAGAGTGTATATATATATATATATATATATATATATATATATATATATATATATATATATATATATATATATATTAGGCCCTTAAAAAGTTTCGAATCAAATCAGAAAAGTGAATCAAGATTTGATTCAAAAAAATTTACATTTATTCAAATCATATCAAGGTAACTTCATTATAAACTTTCCAACATTAACTTTCCAACATTATCCAACTATTAAAACTACACTGCCACAACTCATTTGTATTTTTCATAATATGTCAAAAATGAAGCATAAATAAGCAATTAAATTTGTAAATAAATTTTATACATATGTGTTGCCGTTGGAAGGCTCCCAAACACATCATACCCAGTAAAACAGCAACAAATAAAAAAGCTGTTTCTAAAACAAAAAGGTTTTCTTTCAAATAATCACAGGTGTTATTTTTTTTTTGGATGGGGACTGAGGGGTCACAGCACTGTATATAAGATACAAACTATATAAACTATAAACTATAACAAATACTAAAGTTTTTTTCCAATTTTTGTTGTACTAATTATCTCGTCTCCTTTCATTGCTCTTAGTGTCAACAGCTGAACACCTTATCTTAAGTAACTACAAATTAACGTACTTTGAAGGGTTAAAGTTTGTTAAAGGTGGTCCAAGTATATTGATGAACAACAATATTCAAACTGTTTTGATCATTAATGAATCCCTTGTTGGTGTGATAATTAGATTCATCTGTAAAAATCCTATTTTGCATTCACTTGAGGAAATAGAGATAGTATGTAGAGCATGTACCAAATGAACTAAATTTTCAGGATGTTTTTTTCAAGGTATTCAAGGAACCCATAAATAATTTCTTTTTCATTTTATTGTACTCTTATTAATCAATACTTGATTAGTAAAACTGAAATACTGTCAAAAGTCATTATAAAAACAGTTTCATACTCCATAAAAATCTAAAAAATAAAAATTAACCTAAGTGCAATTAACAATGTAAATTATAAGTATATGACAAGTATATTAGAAGTTTATAATCAACTATTTGTGCATATAGTAATTTTTTTTATTAAAAAAAATAATTTTAACTGATAACTCCTATATACTTTAAGAAGTAAACTTTATTTAGTTATTACTATTTCATTTTATCAAATAAATATGAAAATATATATATATATATATATATATATATATATATATATGAAAATATATATATATATACATATATATATATATATATATATATATATATATATATATATATATATATATATATATATATATATATATATATATATATATATATATATATATATATATATATATATAGATATATATATATATATATGCAGTATCGGACAAAACAAGTGCAACCAAATAATGCTAATTTAGTTTCTTTATATAAAAGTGCTGCATTTTTTCAATTTAGAGAAATAACTATGTAACTGTTTAGAGACAACGTTTTTCAAGTTTTAACCATCACAAAGTTCATTATTTGTACACGAAAATCAAATCGAAAGTATTAAAAAAAGTTGATTTCCTTCTGGACAAAAAAAGTGCAACTCCACAAAATGTTGACCAAGCTGTATTTTGCTATCAATATTTTGGGGCAAAACCTTTATTGTCGATCACAGCCTTGCATCTTCAAGGCATAGATTCGATCAGGCGATCAATGAAACTGTGGAATTGCTGCCCAGGCATTTTGGGTTTGTTCAAACAGTTGATCCTTATTACGAACACCTTCATGATTAATTCTGCGGTTGATGATCTCCCACAAGTTCTCGATAGGGTTGAGATCCGGAGATTGAGGCGGCCAATCCATCACTGATAGGTGGTTGTCTTGAAACCACTGCTTGACTACTTTTGCAGTGAGTTTCGGATTGTGTTCTTGCTGAAAAACCCATTTTATTGGCATATTCCATTCAGCGTGAGGTAACATAACATCTTTCAGGATATTTTTATACATGAAACGGTCCATTATTCCCTCGATTCGATGTATTGGACCTTAGCAGAAAACCGTTAGCAGAAGACCGTTAGCAGAAAAAACACCCCCAGACCATTACATTGCCTCCACCATGCTTCACGGTCTTATGGCAATAACGTAAATCGAGGCGTTTCTGGCCGATCGACATACACAGCAAATGTCATTGCTCCCAATGATGGTGAACTTCGATTCATCACTGAACAGGACAGTTCGCCATTTCTGCACATTCCAGTCAATATGAGATGTAGCAAACAGGAGTCTTTTCTTCTGGTTCTTTAGTGAAATTAGCGGTTTCTTTGCAGGGCGTTGAGAAAACAATCCAGCTTCAACAGCAAATTCTAGAGAGGATTCTATGACCGTCAGATCCTTCTTGATGGATTTGACAGTCATAGAATTCTCTCTAGAAGTGGTGGAACGCGGTCTTCCACCTTTGTTATCTGCTACCAACTTCCCCGCAGAACAATATTTGGAACGTAGTCTTTTTCACATGATATTTATCACAAATACTTTTTTGTGACATTCCACTTACGCAATCGCCAATAATTTTCTTTCTTGTTCCAATCCAAGACTGTCGGGAGCCATTTTTTTACTTGAAGTTATAAAAATAACAAAAATAAATAATCATGCTTCTGAAGGCTTACCATGTTACATTTACCTTGTGATGATACAATAATGCTCTGTGGAACACAACGACTTGGTTGGATGCAGACTGTATTGATGTAATGAAACACTTGTTGTATTTCACTTCTTGTATTGATGTTCTTCGATAAAACACTTGGATAAAACTCACTTCGATAAACTGTTTTGATAATACTGACTAATTGATTTCCATATACTGACTGAATTGTCGGTTTACATGTCTCTTATATAGTAAAATGAACCTGTGTGAACCTGTTCTGGAAGATTCTAGATGCTTCTTTTCGATGCTTCTAGAAGCTTCTGGATGCGTCTGGATGCTTCTGAATGTTTCTGGATGCTTCTGGATGCTTCCAGATGCTTCTATTGGAAACTTCTGGAAGCTTCTGTATGCTTCTGGAAACTTTTAGAGACTTCTGGATACTTCCTTTAATTATTAAAAAACTTTCGTGACATTGGCACGGACCAGACTTAAGAAAATGAAACAAACCAAAAAAGTTGCACTTGTTTTGTCCGCTGCAAAATGGCACTTGTCAACGAAATTCTCCCTGTGTGCTGTCACCTGTCAGCTGATTGCTCATGTCATGGCATGCTATGACTCCAGACTCCTGAACTGTTTGCTGTGGTAGTATAGTTCGATTCATTTTTAAGATATGTAAAATTAGGAATACTTTTTAGCATTGTTCAATGTTGGTTGAAAATGTTTTGTCCAATACTGTATATATTTATTTATATATATATATATATATATATATATATATATATATATATATATATATATATATATATATATATATATATATATATATATATTATTTTAAAACATCAAAAATACGATTTCTCTCAACACTTATAATTTTTTTATTATTATAGAAATTTTCGCTGGATTTTAGATACCAGCTTCTTCAGCTTGTTAAATGTTACAGTAATTAGTAAACCGTTATAATTTAAATTAAAACGTTGCTATTGACGTCAGCGGTTGAATGGCTTCTTTTTCGCTGAAATTTAAAAAATGGCGTACAAAACTTAGTTTTTATGTATTGACCCTCATCGAGATTAATCCCGCCACTTTTTGCAGAACACATGTTTTTTTGTATTTCTAGGGCTTCCCTAACTTTTCTTTCAAATTTTTTATTTTCTACTTTCAATGTTTTTGTTTGTTCCCAAATAATTTCTTTTTTGCAAAATGTTTTATGCAGAGCTAATGCAGATTGATGCTGCTTATTTTCATCAATGCTTTTTTGGTGTTGATGCATTCTTGTGTTTACTTTCATTTTTGTTTCGCCTACATACACTTTTGAACAGTTGCATTTGATTATATATGTTCCTGGTTGACTGTTATTAGGTAATTTTGATTTATTCTTTGATGTTAACATGTTATCAAAATTACCTAATAACAGTCAACTAGGAACATATATAATCAAATGCAACTGTTTAAAAGTGTATGTAGGCGAAACAAAAATGAAAGTAAACACAAGAATGCATCAACACCAAAAAAGCATTGATGAAAATGCTTTTTTGGTGTTGATGTGAGAAATCGTATTTTTGATGTTTAAAATAATATATAAATATACTCTCACACAAGATGTTATCCTTTAAATCATATATAACATCAAAAATACGATTTCTCTCAACACTTATAATTTTTTTATTATTATAGAAATTTTCGCTGGATTTTAGATACCAGCTTCTTCAGCTTGTTAAATGTTACAGTAATTAGTAAACCGTTATAATTTAAATTAAAACGTTGCTATTGACGTCAGCGGTTGAATGGCTTCTTTTTCGCTGAAATTTAAAAAATGGCGTACAAAACTTAGTTTTTATGTATTGACTCTCATCGAGATTAATCCCGCCATTTTTTGCAGAACACATGTTTTTTTGTATTTCTAGGGCTTCCCTAACTTTTCTTTCAAATTTTTTATTTTCTACTTTCAATGTTTTTGTTTGTTCCCAAATAATTTCTTTTTTGCAAAATGTTTTATGCAGAGCTAATGCAGATTGATGCTGCTTATTTTCATCAATGCTTTTTTGGTGTTGATGCATTCTTGTGTTTACTTTCATTTTTGTTTCGCCTACATACACTTTTGAACAGTTGCATTTGATTATATATGTTCCTGGTTGACTGTTATAAGGTAATTTTGATTTTTTCTTTGATGCTAACAGGGATCTTAAGTTTGGGTTTGATTTGAATACCGCTCTGTAACCAGCTTTTCGGAATATTTTCCTAAGTTTTGGCGAGAGACCGGGTAGCCATGGTAAGGAAACTACAGGATAATTATTGATTTCAGATGGAATTGTAATTTTATTTTTTTTTTTGTGTTGAAACTGATGCGCAATATTCATCATTTGAGTTTTATCGTAACCATTTTCAATAAACACGTTGATTAGAAAATTTATTTCATTTTGCAAGTAAGACTCACTACAGATTGAGTAAGCTCGGTGGAGAAATCCTTTAAAAATAGAGTTCAAGATATTTGGATCATGATTTGAGTGTGGCTTAATTTGAATGTTAGTGATAGCATCTTTTCGATACACTTTGTATTCATACTTTCCTGTTTTTTTATTCATAATTTGTAAATCCAAATAATTTAGTGTTCCTAACTCGTTTTCAACTTCAATTGTATACTGGATGGAAGGATGTTGTTGATTTAAAATGTATTGGAAATGTTTTTGCTTGGTTGAGATCTGGAAACCTTGCATGACTATCATCGACATATCTTAAGAACGATTTGAGGTTAAGTGCAGGGTTGAAATTTAGTGCAATTTTAATTGCATTGTTTTCATGGAATTGTAGAAATGATTCTGCAAGAACCACCATGAACGAAAGTCCAATTGGACCCGAGTTTTCCATTATATGAATTTCATTGTTCCAATGAAAATAACATTGAAATAAACAAAGTTCTATAAGTTGTTTTATTTCAGGTATACTTAGTCTGGTTAATTTTTTATATGTTGTATTATTATTTAATTTTTCTATAAGTACAAGGGTGGCTTCTTTTAAAGGAACCGACGGATACAGATTTACAACATCAAAAGATACCTGAACTTCATCTTTGTCAATTTTCCAAGATTCAGCTTTTTTAATAAAGTCAAAGGAATTTTTTAATCTTGTCAAGTTTTCATTCAAAACTGGTTGTATTATCTTAACTAAGAACTCAGATATTCCGTAGTTTGCTGTGCCGATTGTGGAGATAATTATTCTCATAGGATAGAATTTTTCAGGTTTGTGGGCTTTGATTACACCATACATACGAGGCGGGATGGGATCACTAGGATATATTTTTTTGTATTCCTCTTTCGAAAAACAGTTTCTTTTATTTAGTTTTGAAAGATATCTACGAATTTTTGCCGCGTAATTTGCAATAGGGTCTTCACTTACTATTTTTGTTGGGCCTATTTGTTCGCGAATTTTCTCCAAGGCTTTTGAATGTTCGATTCGTACAAAACCTGTCCCTTTGTCGAATGGATATATGTCAACGCTTTTTTCCTCTTTTATTTCTCAATAAGCTTTCCATTGTTCTTTTGTAAGATTATTATTTAATTTTTTTCCGGTTTTTAGTTCTCTTAAAACATTTTTCCTTAGGTCTTGGGCATTTTCAATTTTATTGTTGTATTCTAATTTTAACGCAGAGGATTCCGTGGTTGTAATAATATCCATATATGGTATCGACTTTAAAGATGGTACAAAGTGTGGACCGAGGTTTAGAAAATTATTATGACTTACTGGAATGTTGGTATCGCATAAGTTTAGGACAGCATTCTTTTTATAATTTGTTGTTTTTTCGGCATTATCGTTTTTATTTTCACGTTCATTTTGCAATATTAGAAATTTTTTCACTAATCGTTCTTTTGACTTTACAAACATATTCTCTCGAGCTTTTTCAGTGATTCGTTCTAATTTAATGTAGTCTTTTTTGTCTAAGTGATATTTAAGCGAACGTTGAAGATTTTTAACGTCATTCATAAGGTTAAAGAATCGTTTCCTAGAATCGTTTTTTATGCTGACTAAAAGTTCAAATCTAAAACGATAAATAATACCTATTGCTCTTCTATTTTTTATTGGAGAGTTAATTCGAAATGATTTCGGAATAATTTTATGTTTTACACATTTTTGTAAAAAGATGTATTGGTTTTTTGATTTAGCAACAGATTTTTTTAATAACTTTAACTGTTCAGTTTTTTTGTAGATTTCAGCTCCATATTTAGCTGTTATATATGATTTAAAGGATAACATCTTGTGTGAGAGTATATTTATATATTATTTTAAAACATCAAAAATAGGATTTCTCACATCAACACCAAAAAAGCATTTTCATCAATGCTTTTTTGGTGTTGATGCATTCTTGTGTTTACTTTCATTTTTGTTTCGCCTACATACACTTTTAAACAGTTGCATTTGATTATATATGTTCCTAGTTGACTGTTATTAGGTAATTTTGATAACATGTTAACATCAAAGAATAAATCAAAATTACCTAATAACAGTCAACCAGGAACATATATAATCAAATGCAACTGTTCAAAAGTGTATGTAGGCGAAACAAAAATGAAAGTAAACACAAGAATGCATCAACACCAAAAAAGCATTGATGAAAATAAGCAGCATCAATCTGCATTAGCTCTGCATAAAACATTTTGCAAAAAAGAAATTATTTGGGAACAAACAAAAACATTGAAAGTAGAAAATAAAAAATTTGAAAGAAAAGTTAGGGAAGCCCTAGAAATACAAAAAAACATGTGTTCTGCAAAAAGTGGCGGGATTAATCTCGATGAGGGTCAATACATAAAAACTAAGTTTTGTACGCCATTTTTTAAATTTCAGCGAAAAAGAAGCCATTCAACCGCTGACGTCAATAGCAACGTTTTAATTTAAATTATAACGGTTTACTAATTACTGTAACATTTAACAAGCTGAAGAAGCTGGTATCTAAAATCCAGCGAAAATTTCTATAATAATAAAAAAATTATAAGTGTTGAGAGAAATCGTATTTTTGATGTTTTAAAATAATATATAAATATACTCTCACACAAGATGTTATCCTTTAAATCATATATATATATATATATATATATATATATATATATATATATATATATATATATATATATATATATATATATATATATATATATATATATATATATATATATATATATATATATATATATATATATATATATATATATATATATATATATATATATATATATATATATATATATATATATGTACATTCATTATTCTTTATTCAGCTGGCAAATATTGTGGAAACTAAAAAATATATATTTTATGACATTCACAATATAAATAAAATTTATTTATAAATATGCTTTAAAAAAACTCACATTCTTTAAAATGAGTCTTTAATTCTTCTAAGGTCCAATTGCAAGAGGTTATCACAAACAAGGATTTGCTAATTTTACTTAAAGTGTTTAAATATTTTTTTCTAGCTTCTGCAGCATCATCACGTAAACTAATAGCATCATATGTACCCTTATCATGACAAACATCAAACATTGAAACTTCTGACTCATCAGCTGTAGAAAACCTGATGGAATCTTGATCTAAGAAATCAGCTTGCTAGAAAAAGGTTAAAAATTTATCTAAATAAAAAATCATATCACAAACACAATTGCATAAATATTTGAAAACATTAGTGTAATCTTCATGATTAATATTTAAAATCTTTATTTATGAATAATTCATCAGCCTAATTGTTGTATAAATGTAATATAAACACTACTGTACTAAAAGTCTTGTTATGGTTTAAAGAAAAAGTAAAAACAGACAGTAGTAAAAAAAAATTCTTTTTTTTTTACTAAGTAGAAAAAAATGAAAACTAAAAGTAAATGGTAAAAAGCTAAATTAACTTGACAAAAGTGATGCAAAAACACTTCAAAACAAAGTTAAGGTATCAAATTTAAGATGGTATATATCAATATTTCATAGTTGACAAAATGTCTTTTTATTGGAAAGATATTTTTATCTAATATACTGCTTAGATAATTTTCCTTATCTATAGTATTTATTTTTGACGGCTTTTTCTGAAATTAAGTTTTAATGTAATTTTGTTGTTTTGAGATTTAAATTTAACTATTTCAGACTTTTTGGTATTTAAGAAAAATTCTTAATCATGTCTGGTTCAAAATGAACCAGACATGATTAAGATGATGACCATACATGCAATGTCGTGATTAAGATGATGACCAGACATGCAAGGTTGTGATTAAGATGATGAAGCACACATGATTAAGATGATGACATGCAAGATGGTGATTAAAAGTTTTATTAAGTTTTTAAGAGATTTACTTACAATAAGAAAATTGGTACCATTAGCAAAATGATATGTTTTGGAAAATTTTACAAGTGTATTTTGTGTAAATCATTTATATAAATGAGAAAAAGGAGAGGACCCTAAAATGGATCCTTGTGGAACACCAATATATGTAAACCTAGCATTAGATGAAGTATTATCAACTGAGTATTAACAACTAACGTTGTATTAAGTAGTATCAACTAACAAAGTAACATCAACTAACTGAGAACAGATATAGAGGTATGAGTTGAACCATTTTTCAACCAGGGCAACTCCTCTGACACTGTAATGATTTAATTTAGACAGCAGAATTTCATGGTCAACAGTATGAAACGCTTTCTGCAAATCAACATTATCAACGCCTTGTGCAAATCAATAAACACTCCAGCAGCAAACTTTTTTTGGTCAAGTGCTTCACATATTGTCTCAGTTATGCCAATAAACCTTTGATTTATACTTTTCTTTTAACGAAAAACAAATTGAGGCTATAAAGAATACTAAATTGGTTTCAAAAACTTTCTAGTCTGTTAAACAGGAACCTTTCAACCTTGCCAATATTTTAAACTAAAGATATAAGTTGATACTTACAATGATATAGTTTGGATCCACTTTTGAAAATAGGTACAACTTTATCAAATTTAAATAAGTCAGGGAAGTCTCCAGATAGGAATGATTGGTTTATTAAAATACTCAAAGGGTAGCTTAATTCTTTTGATTATACTATAAATATTTGTACAGGGATGCTATTTGACCCAGTACTTTTTCTAGGGTTCATGATAGATATATAACCATTTACGTCTTGAGGTGTAACAGGGGTTATATAGAAGGAGTTAGGATTTTGGTTTTCAAGGTAGTGGTTAAAGATGTCTAAGAGAGATGATTGTTCAGGAAAAATTTTCTGCAACTGTGGAAAATTAATAATTAAATAATTTTGTGATTAAAACCTTATTAGTTATAATTTGGTTATTTATAGTTAAACTTTTGATGGTGTTGTGGTTGTTTGGCTTTATATCAATAATTTGTTTTATTTGTTTTCTAGGTGATTCTAAGATTGTTTAAATTTTTATTAAAATATTATTAAAATATGATTTTTTTTTTTAAATATCTCAACAAGTTGTTTACTTGATTCCAATATAATATAAACTTTTGAAAGTCTTCTTTAAATTTTTCATTTTTACATTTTTTAAACTTTTTGCGAAGTTTGATTTTAATAAGTATTGATTTAACAATTTCAACTACAATTCATGGTTTCAATAGAGCTTTATTTGTTTTCTTAGAAGATAGCTTAAAAGGGGCATGGTAATCAAGTATTTTGTTAACAAGTTTCTTGATGCCTTTTTGGTAGCCATTTAGCCTATTTTAAGTCTTTAAGAAATAAATTTTCATTAAAATTATTAAAACAAGGACAATATTTTTTGAGGATGTTTTAAATTTTTTCTAGGCTAAACTATAAACTGCATATAATGATCAGCAAGAGATACTGTAAGTTTGCCAGATATAAAATTAGGTTTGTAAAAGCTTAAAAATATATTATCAATTGTCTTGGATTAAGGTGTAATTCTAATTGGTTGAGTAACAAATAGGAATAGAGAAAAGGAGCACATGGAATCAAGAAAGTTAGACACTATTACAAGGGTCAAAGTTCAAAAGGTAAATGTCAAAGTCCCCTAAGATCACTAAATCTTAATTTTCTAAAAACATTTCTATGAAGTGATCATTTAACTCATTTGTTCACATACAAGGATGACGGTAAATATATCCTACTATGATATAGTAAAATTTCAATAAATTATTTTAAGTTTGTTAAGATTTTTAAAAAAGTTTTTATGAAAAGGAGGTGTTACATGTTGTGAGATGTAAGAACTTATTTTCACAATTTATGGTAAGTTTGAGTTCATTACCAGAAAGATTCAAGTATGGCAAAGTGTTTTACTAACATATATAGCAGTACCATAAGCCTATTTCTGACATAAGATAATTGTAGCATTTATTGGTTACCTTGTTACATTTTCTATGGATCCATTTATTGCAAGAACAACATTGGATGACTTAGTAGTTATTTGAGACAGATTTATAACAAATGCCACAGGGAGAATTTACACACATTTTAAAGCATTTAGAGTATTCAATAAATTTCTTAATTAATACTATAAATAATATAATAATGTACTATAAATAATACACTATAAATATTTGAAATATTTTTTTATAAGTGTTCCAATTATAGTATAGTTTTAATATGGAAAAAAACAAATAAAAGTTAAATTTTTAAAAATTTTCATTTTAAGTGCCCCAAGAAGTTCTTACTGTCTTATTTCAGAGCACCACTGAAGAGCTTTAAAAAAGAAGTTCAAACCTCCTTCCTTACTGATGTTATAAAACTTGCCCAGAGGTGGCGTTGAACCACGGATTTCTAGCTTCTGAGGCAAGAGCGCTAACCACTGCGCTACAGCTGCTCAATATAATAAGATAAAATTGTAGATGATATGATAGATATTAAAGGTATTAAAAGAATAAATGCTGATATTATACTTGATATTAAAAGTAAATTAAAGTCTTATATAATATAGAAATATTCTACTTAGAATATATAATCTACAGCAAACAGTACAAAATACGACATAACTATATAGTATGAAGTAGATAAATAATATACTATATGTAACTTATAATATAAACACTTTAAAAATGGTTGACTCAAACTCATGTGAAAAATAAATTATATGCTCTTATCTATTAATATCTATATCAATCTAATTTGAAAAAATGAATGCGAATGAAACTATTTCTTGATAAATTTTAACTTTAACTTAAGTTCTTCAGTTCTGAAAATCAGCTAAGAAAACAAGAACTTTTGTTTATGTTTTGACGCTGTAAAATCTTCAAAAGAGAGTCCACTATGCCATTCTTAAGAGAGTTCGGAATTTCATTACTTTCAAAAGAGTGTCCACAATGCCATTCTTAAGATTGTACTTAATATTAAGAATTACTGTTAAGTTTGTATAAAATGGCTTGCTGTATTGATAACAAGAAACCAACAATGATACTTCCTGTATCTGCATCATCTTCATAAGACTCTTTAAAAAAGTAACTCTATTCTGATTCTGAGTCAGATATTTCATGTCTTAATGACTCGGAGATGTTTTTTAGATGAAATGTTTGTTTATCACTGTGCTCTTTTGCATAACTTGTATGTTACATAACTTTTATTCTATTATATTTAAAAATATTTATATTGATTTAAAAAAATGAGTCAAGTTATTAATGATGATGGTGTTTATTTTTATATTATATTAATATGATACTTTATAGTTAGTTATTTTTTTAAATATGTTTATTTTTAACTGCTGAAGAAGTTTGGTTCCGTTGGAAAAAAGCACTTTTGGTTTCAATTAAAAAAAAAAACTCTGGATATCACTAAGACCCCTTTAATTATCACTTAATCAGCCTTTTTACTATTATTAGCAAAGTTCTTTCTCTGAATAAAACTTAAAAAAACTTTAAATGTAATCAAGAAAATTTATAAAGATTTTATTGAGTTTTTACTGTTTTTGTTCACTTAAGAGATTTATTCATAAACAATGAAGATGTAAAAAATATTACATCAATTTTACTCTGAACAACTTTTTTTTTATTTTGCTGAAAAAACATAAAGCTTTAAAGATCTTAAAGATGCAAGTTTAACTATGTAAACTGTGGTTATTAATTCAAACATTCAATTTATAACTATTTCAAGTAAGATTTTTTTGTAGTTGGTAAAGAAATAAACTTCCATTATTTTACAATATTAATAGTTCCAGAAAACAAAATTTCCAATCTATGAGTTGACCTTAAGATCTTAAGAACTACCATACATTCAATTATATATATATATATATATATATATATATATATATATATATATATATATATATATATATATATATATATATATATATATATATATATATATATATATATATATATATATATATATATATATGTATGTATACATATATATATATATATATATATATATATATATATATATATATATAAATATATGTATATATATACATATATATATACAAATATATATATATATATATACATATATATATACATATATATATACATGTATATATATATACATGTGTATATATATATATATATATATACATATATATATATATATATATATATATATATATATATATATATATATATATATATATACATACTGTCTACCTTACATACTATACTAAACATAAATACTAAACTATACATACTGTCTACCTTTTAAAGTTATAAAAAAAAATTTTATAAGACAATAACCTTTAAAAAATTTTGAATGCTTCAAAAACCATTAGGCAAACCGCTATTTATCAGCAGTTCTTATATCAGAACCCACCTAAATAATATTTAGAATAAATATTATTCCCGCTTGGAATGTGTTGATTAATTACAATTGGTGGGAAAAGTTTAAAAAGACATGTGGAAATATACTTAAAAATATGTGAAATAATGGACTTACTATGATTGGTAAGTCTATTCCACACCGACCATTTCTATAGTTATTCTTTATACGATCATTTAATTTCAATAATTTTTAGTAAGTGGTAGAAAATAAAAAATCTTTAAAATCACTGTTTTGAGTTAACGATTAATGTTCAATACTTTTTAACTTCTTATTGTGAAATTGTGAATTTCTGTACAAAAATGGGGACAGGCTTATCAATTATTTCCTTTATTAGGTTTCTATTAATTTTTTTTTAATTTTTTTTCAAACTATTCACAGCTTATTAGGACACTCACCCCATTAATTAATTTTGAAGAAAATAAAAGTTTGAATGTAAAATCTTTTTTCTTATAAGAAATGAATTTCCTATAAGAAATATCTGTTAAATGTGCAGACATAACTTAATTACACATCTCTTTCATGACATATGCGCAAAAAATTTCTCCCCCTGTTTTGATGTTTATATAAATTTTGAACATTTTTAAAAAATTCTCTCCCTTTCGTTTGTTATAGTATATAATGTCTTCAGTTATGTATCAATAAAACTTTTAAAATGTTTTACTTTGTATTTTGTAAAATTGGAAAAGATTAAAAGAAAAATTGATTGTGCAAGCGACAAGATTCAAACCCATGCATTATACTTCAGAAATGCAAACAACTAACCATTTCGGCCACTAAGGCATACTGATCATACAATTTTTAACACTATTTAATAAATAAAAGACTTTATAAAATAGCAAACAAATGCTATAAATAAAATTAAGAAGAGATTGCCACAATGCAATTTTCAAGTAAAAGTAAAACTTGATATAATCTTTAACATTACATTAGTTTGAAGTTTACATAAGTTATATTTAATATTTTTTAATTTTATATTTGCATAGACTTTAGCTCACCTTTACTTAAAAAATGCAACTCTTTCTTGACATTCACTTGGGTGTTATGGTTAAATAAATATTCAACTCATTTTTTTAATATATATTTTTTTTTACTTAAAGAAAATGTTTATAGTACTTAAAAGTCCCTTAAAAAAATCTTTGATTAATTCAGTCAAAAGTTTTTGATAGGAGTACAACACCAACCATGTTTCCTTTGTTAGACTTTCTTTAAATATTTGTAGAATATATAATTTTTTTTTTTATTAAACAACTTCACTTCCAACAAGGCTGTAAGCAACCACTGTAAGAGTTGGAAAATACTGGAAAAGAAAAGATAAAGTTTATAAAATAATATAATAACATACAAATTAAAAAATTGCAAATCATATGAATCAAGAAAACAAGATAAAGGGAACAAATTCCAGGGGGAAAACTAGATGAATAAGAATTTTTAGAGCACTTAGTAATAAAAAAGGATGAGACTTTATTTAATCACAAGTAAATTTTAATAGATGGCACAAGAGATGCTAGTAATTCAGAGCAGTGCCCATTATAGTATTTATAGAAAAGAGAAAGTGAAGCAACATCATGACAATGTGACAATGGTTAAAGGTTGTCTGCAAGAGCAGGTCCAACTATGCTTACAATGCATTTTTGCACCTTGTCTTAAAGAGAAAGCACATCGTTCGAAGATCTGGTCCGGATATGGCAACAGTATTCCATACAAAAATGGATCTTTGGATCCAATGGAGATTTATTGAGATAAAGAATAGAATCTGGAGTAAGAAAGTGGAATGCATGATAAAATAGTAGAATAATACAAAAATCAAATTGGAAACCTCTTAAAAAACTTGTTACTAAAAAATCAATTAACCAATTGCATATTACGAGAAAGTTATGAGATTTGAAAAAAATATATACCTTTGCAAATTTTTATATATAAAGAAAAGTACTAGTTTTATAATGTATAAGGATTGGAGTGTAACTCAGCTAATCCAGTAGCTGTTAAAATGAAGTATTATTAAAATGAAGTGAAGTAAAAGAAAAGTTTGTATTGAAATATTTCACATTATCACGGAGTTAGCAAATTAAGTTTTGTTTATTTTATAATTAAAACTCTAAAAAATTATAACCAATTTTAATTTAATTAAAAGAAAAATACAAGAATTTAAGTAATTCACCAAAAATATATAAAAAGAATATATATATATATATATATATATATATATATATATATATATATATATATATATATATATATATATATATATATATATATATATATATATATATATATATATATATATATATATAAAGAGTCGACTAGGGTTAATCACATGTCCAAACTACTTTTTTTTGTTGTTGTAAGTTTATTGTTAAATAATCTTTATAAAAAATATTTATAAACAATTTCATAAATGTTCAGGTTTAGAGACAGAATATTGAAAATTATGGCCATTTTTACCCCACCAATAACTTATAGCCTAAAATGTATAAAAGTTATTCAGTTATTAAAGATTATTACCTTACAAAATATCTACTAACATATTAAACTACTGAAATAAACATTTGTACCATGAGTTTATATGTTGAAACTAAAACCTAACTATTCACCTTATAACTAATAACTTTTCCTTGAGATAATGCAATAGATATTGATAAGTCAACAGCGTTTTGTGAATAATCAATACCATATAAACTTGAGAAGCCTTTTTGAGCCTAAAGAAAACATTGTAATAGGAATTAAATCTGCAAAAAAACTAAAACAATAATAATAACAATAATAATAATAAAAAGGAATTCAGTGCATACACTTTGTAATCTGTAATTCTGTTTAAATTCCGGTCCTTTCTTAAATTGAAATGTTTTAAGATCAGTTTAAAATTTAACCTATATATATACATATATATATATATATAAATATATATATATATATATATATATATATATATATATATATATATATATATATATATATATATATATCAGTATGTGTTACCACGCAGACCTATTCTCTACAAAGCATATTCCCTAAAGGCATATTTTCTATAAAACACTTGCCCTACAGAAGTATTCCATACAAAATATATTACCTACAAACGAACAAGAAGGGGTTTGAAACCTTAAGCAGCCAACAAGAAGGGATTTGAAACCTTAAACACCCTTCCTTTTTTAATTTAACAATATTTAAAAGTATTTTTCTTAAAAATTTAACAAAAATGTGTTGATTAAAAAAGATGTATCATAATCAATTAATATTATCAATCAATATACATATTTCTGAAACATATCTATCTGTGTCTATTTTCTTATAAAATTCATATTACTGGAGAGATCCAAAAATATTCTTTGTTAAAATCAACCCTTTAACATTTGCAACTATGTCAATATTTTTTAAACACTAACTATTAAAAATACTTGTGACTTGGCCAACCTCAGTGTTAACCACTAGTTACCACAATCACTACAAAAGATTATTTTCAAGGTTAAAATACCTAAAATAAAAAAATCTCAAAAATATAACTTTTTAAAAAAAGGTTGAATGGAGCGACATTGCTGTTCATTTGCAAAAAAAATCCAGTGACAGAAGAGCTAAATATTTTACAAAAAAAAAAAAGAGAAAAATTTATTTTAAAAGTAGTCAAAAGTGTAAATTTATTTAAAACTGTTTTGTAACTAAAAATTTTTTTATAAAAAAAGTACTGCTCTGTAACCAAAATTGCAATAAGAAATATGCTGTTATCTTATTTCTTGTTAAAATAAATGTTAAAAAACTCATGGATTATTTTTTTTTAAGCAACTTTTCTGAAAATTTTTAGGTAGGCACTAGCCAGCAAAAGTATTTTCTATAAAAAATATCCACTAAAGGTTAATTCTCTATGAAATAATTTCTCTAATATTTTCTTATCTTCTCATCTATTTCATTTATGAGGATATTATGAAAAAAATAGAATAGCCTTTTAGAATAGTTTCATTTGCATCTACTAACATAAATTTTGTGTTTTGTGATTAACTGAGCTTAAAATTATTTCTTAAAAAAAAATTTTATGATAAATTAAAAAAAATGAGATTAAGCATTTTAATATGCATTTAATTGATGTTGTTTGAAGATTAAGGTCAGTTTCCATTGACTTATTCGCTTTTCTATAGGAAAAGAGAGAAGAAATATTATATGAGCATGCGATCTTTAAACATCTATTAATATATTCGTAATTCATAAAATTAGTTTATGATGAATCTGCTCATTGATAAAACTAGAAACTAGAAAATTTCCGATTTATCTCCATAACATTATAATGAATGGTAACTACGTAAATAATAATTAAAACTAACAACCAAACTAGTGTACAAAAATCCACATTTTAAAAACTTTATTAAAAGGTTTATTAAAATTCTAAATAGATTTAGGTCAAAAGATTATACAAAATGATTCAACCCAAGGCACTAAAATGTAAACCATAGAGTTTCAGTGTATTATTTTGATATTTACTTTAATCTAACTGATAGAATTAGATAGTAAAACTAAAACATAACTAAAAATATCTAGAAAGTTTAAAGATTTACCCCCTGAATATTTTAGGTATTTCCATCCCTGGTGTATCTACCCTACCTAATCTCCTATGAAGTTTTTTTCATATGAACAGAAACCATTTTGCTTCCAAAAACATACCAACTCTAAAAGAAATGCACCATTTCCAGATCCAATATCAATGACTGAAGAAAATGGGTTTATTTGCTTGCAATTGAATAACCAATCAACAACTTTCATCATTCTGCTGTGGCCAAACCTTGTTTTAAGAATAAATTTTATATATATATATATATATATATATATATATATTATATATATATATATATATATATATATATATATATATATATATATATATATATATATATATATACTAGTACATATATATATGTATATATATACTAGTATATATATATAAATATATATATATATATACTAGTACATATATACTAGTATATATATATATAAATATATATATACTAGTACATATATACTAGTATATATATATATAAATATATATATACTAGTATATATATATATATACATATATATATATATATATATACATATATATACATATATATATTTATATATATATATATCCATACATATATATATATATACATATATATATACATTTATATATGTATATATATATCAATGACTGAAGACAATGGGTTTATTTGCTTGCAATTGAATAACCAATCAACAACTTTCATCATTCTGCTGTGGCCAAACCTTGTTTTAAGAATAAATTTTATATATATATATATATATATATATATATATATATATATATACATATATATATATATATATATATATATATATATACTAGTACATATATATATGTATATATATATACTAGTATATATATATAAATATATATATATATACTAGTACATATATACTAGTATATATATATATATAAATATATATATACTAGTATATATATATATATATATATATATATATATATATATATATATATATATATATATATATATATACATATACACAGTGGTGTACACTGGATTTTTAGAGGTATGTATACATAAAAAAAAATGTTGTGTAGTATTTAGCTTAGTTAAAGTGTAATATATTCAATATTTTTTATTTAATATTCTTATGCTTTGTTTGACAAAATAAATCTAAGTTGGAGGTTCACTTTCTTTTTACAGATGCAAAAAGATCTTGAAGACACCCGATTGCTTGTTCTGTCAGTTTCTTAAAAAAGAGAGGTTCAAATTTTGTATTCCTGGTCCATTGCATCATGCAAGAATCATGGCAAAAGGATTGTATTGCCTTAAATTATATTTACTGTAGGAAATCATTCCAAACTTAGAGAAAAATATATATGATATAAAAAAATATATATGATATAGAAGAGATAAGGCTGTGCTTGTAAGCATCTTTTACACTCAGCAGCTCATTGGAGCAGTATCTGCAACTGCTGCTCCATATCAGATTAAAAATAATTAGAAGAAATAAGAAAACAGATTTAAAAAGATTAGTTAATTGTTTGATTGATGAATTAAACTAATTTGGTTAAAATATTTTGTAGGACATAAAAATGCTGCGGCAGATGAAGAGGTTCATAGATATAGACGAGTTGCAAATGTTTACAATTTAAGCGCATGCGCGTTAGTTGGTAGGCAAAAATATAAAATAAACAAGAGATTAAATTCGGACTACTTACTAAAGTTTCATCTAAACAATGTCTTCTTACTTCAATTCTCTTGCTAATCCTGACAAAGAATTTTATTTGAAGAAGTTGACATTAGAAAATAATGTTTTGCTTCCCGATCCTTATGGTATTGAAGAAAAATTTTGGAAAAACAATGTTAGTTTGTTTCCTGAAGTCAGTTATGGTGATATATACACATTTTTAGTAGAATCACTAAGTTTATATAGCAAAGAAAGTATGAAAGCCTATAAATCCCTTGAGGCTTTCAACTATTTTATCTGTGGACACGTGCAAGATGTTTTTTATGCTGATTTAAATAAAGAGTCTGAGTTTTGTGCTTTAAAAACAAAGGTAAAAAAACAATTTTAGTGAAATCTAAAATATAACTAAGATATACAACTACAATAAATTTTAAACCAAGTTAATGTTGTTATTTTATGTCTTACCAAGTCAAAGACAAGGGAAAAAAAACAACAATGTATGATGTTTGGATTTATGTTCACAAATTCAAAGGATATATTTTAAATGGAAACTGCAGTTGTGTTGCTGGGTATGTTTACATAAGCAATTAAGATTAAATTTTTTAGTAACATAAAATGGGTATGTTAACTTTAACAATTAAGTTAGGTTGTTTTAACAACATAAAATTGTTATTATTAACAACATAAAATTATTTTGATTATTTAAGATTATAATATGATTATATTATATTAGAATTATATTAGTTAAGATAATTTATAATGAATAATTTGAAATAACAATTAATATATTGAAAACCTAAGTTTTTAATAACTTTTTTTTTAGATTTGGATCAGCTTGCAGTCATATAGCAGCTCTACTTTTTAAAGTTGAAGCCTGTATAAGGCTTGAAATCAATAAAACTGCTTGCACAAGTTTACAATGTGAATGGAATCGATCTAAAAAGCATGTTAGTCCCACAGCATTAGCAAACATAAGTTTTAGCTGCCCGAAAAAAAAAAAAAAAGTTACCCCTTCATAATCAAATATCCAAGAATGTCGATGAAAATTGTTATTCTTATAAACAGTATACTGGTATTTCAAAGTCTAAGTTAAAATGAACTGAAAGAAATAGGACTTGATGCTGCTGTTCTAACAAGTATCGATGAAACTGATTTTTTGTATTCTAGTGAAACTGATACAGCAGAAGAAACTGATGAAACGTGTATCCCAGAACCTTTGACATATCTATTTGAACCAAATTTAACAAAATTTTCACAAGAAGCTTTAATAAATAAAGGCAAACAACAATTTAAACTTTACAAAAAATGTTAAACCCAAAAATCTTTTGACAGATTATCAGAAATAACTCATGCTCAACGTTTTTCACAGTGTTGGAAAGAGCATAAATGTGGTAGGATTACTGCTTCCTACTTTTATGAAGCATGTCACTTGCTAAAAAATGATAATAAAAGTTTTATTAACAAAATCCTGCAGTATAAATTTTTTGATGGAACAATAGCTACAAAGTATGGAACTGAAAATGAAGGTAAAGCGAGAGAAAAATATTTTTAAATTATGTCAGAACAACATAAAGATTTCAAAATAACTTTGACAGGATTGCATGTCAATGAAAAATTTCCTGAAATCGGTGCAAGTCCTGATGCATTTGTTGAATGTTTTTGTCATGGAAAAGGCCTTGTGGAAATTAAATGCCCTTACAAATATGTAAATGGTTTTGAATATTCAGAGAATGATAAAAAATTTCCATTGGATTCTAATCGTGTAATTAAAATAGAACACCCTTACTACTATCAAATGCAAGGCCAAATGTTAGTGTGTGATTTACCTTATTGTGATTTATTTATATGGTCCCCTAATGAATTTTACTCTCATCGCTTGTCAAAGAATGAGCCATTTTGTGAAGACATGCTTGTTAAGTTAAGTAATGTGTTTACTTTGAAGATTTTACCTGAATTATTGACTAGGAGTTGTTTGCCAAATTCAGTATATTCAAGTAAAGTCTACTGTTTTTGTCAAAAAGCACAATTTGGTCAAATGGTTCCATGTGGCAATATTAATTGCAAGTATGAATGGTTTCATTTTTAATATCTTTTCGTTTTTTAGACCAGTCATAAAGTTTAAATTGCCAGAATTTAGTTTCACTGAATGAAAATCCCATGCTGCTCTTCCTTTCCAGTAATTTAGTTTCTCTAATAATTTTAAATTTATTGTTATCTGATTGTTAAGTTTTTCTTGAATTAATGATGTTATTTCTTCTTCATTAGCTTGTATTCCTAAAAATATAGATTTAATTTAATGAACTGTAGTTTTATAGAAAAATACTTTATTTATAATTTAAAAACAATCAATACTATAAGTATTAGTTTTTAGTACCTTTATCGACAATAATTTTTGGGTTTTCCAATACAGTTAATTCAGCTTCAGACAATTCATTATCTTCTATGTAATTTAGTTTAATCTTTTTTATGTCTTCGATTAACTGATCGCTTGTGCCTTTAAAACTTTTCGTTTGTATTAGTTTCAGTTTTATTGAAAGAAAATATGCTGGGAACGTAATCAGGGTGTAATGAATCGTTTGATTTCTTTCCTGTAAAATGTTTTAATTAAAAACATCATAATTGAATTATCTTTAATAATACTATACCTGATATAAAATGGAGACTGCATATACGAGCATCTATTTGTTTTTCAGACCATTTATCTCGTTTAATTGCTCTGATCCAATTTTTGGATCTTCTTTCTTTTTCTTTTTCTGTTGTTGTTCCAAATGGATTTCGGTAAAAACTTAAACAATCTCCTTTTTTTTTCCTACTGGAGCAACCAAAAGCACAACAAGATACAGGCATTATGTTTTAATAACGTTTTGTTTATTTTCTTTTGCCTACCAACTACTGCGCATGCGTTAGTTTACGGCAAAAATGTAAACATTTGCAACTGGTCTATAAATCTTCATGGAGCAACTTCATCGATAAAATTATTTGGCAGGCACAGCTGGTATCCTGCCTTAATTGGACTTGCTTAAGCAGATAAACATTGTACGAACAGAGAAGATATTGCCTAAGCATTGTGCAGTACACTTTCCGCAAAACCAAAAGTATATCCAATTGAACATATTATGGCCAATAAAGAGCTTCTTCACTCTCTAGATTTTGCAAAATTTCAGTCTCCATCTCTTAGTGCTCTAGTAACTGAATAATCTTGGCTTATCTTTGATAAGATTATTATGGAAAGAGTAAGTGCAGTGGCTTAAAATTTCTTCACAGTTCTGAAAGTTCAACTACTTTTATCTTGAGTTTGAAATTATTATTTAACCCTTTCGATACTGACAGGAAATAGGATTCACAACAGATAAACTTTCATTTATAAGCTATAGTTCTGTTGGTCATTAAAATGTTAGCGGTCAATCTTGTCTATTATTTTTACAACCAATGGAAAAACAGATACATCCAACAAACTTATTTTTATTTATCTCAAAGTATTTTAGATTTTGGTATTTGATGCGCTTAAATGTTAATGAAGCATTGTGGTTTGTAATCAAAATTTACAGCCTGGTTAAAATTCATAGGAGTTTATTTATATCTATTATA